TTTTTTTAACACGCTTATATTAGTTTCACGTGTATGTTGTTTGTTGTTTGTCGTTTGTAAGTTTGTAACTCCACGCAGCACGTGTTATTATGTCGCGTATCCCGTCGTGTATGACCTTGAGACTATACTGTAGTAACGCATTCGCCCCACCCCGCTCACCACTCGTAGACAACAATATTTTCTAACCCGTAGACGCGCGCTTATCATCAATTATATATATATAACAAATTTTTATTGTAATTGACACAACCCCGCGTCGTTTCGTTATACACAATGCCCCACGACTCGTGCCACCTTTATCAGCCGTCGCCCTATTATGAGTATTTGACTGACCAACACCTCGCGTTATACGCCGCGGTGCAAAGTCTAGCAAGCGCCGCACGGCCGACGACGTTCCGCCGTTAATGATACCGTAGTCTTCTTCTCGTTGTCAAAGTGACGTCAACAAACCGATCCGCACTCGCGCACTGTTGTCATCTACACTGCTAACCTTTTGACGTCCGAAGATCACGCCGGACATCGCGTCGTCGACNTATTGGAATTTAATTATCAACATCTTCAACATTTTGTTCCACTCTAATGAACATCCTTATATAGTATAAGGGATGGGTTACATGAATAATTAATAATTAATAAATCGAAAAATATATAAAATTAAAAAACCACGAAATAGGATTTTCTAAATATGCTAACAGCATAATTTAAACTTGTTTTAGTAGAATAAGAATTTATTATTATTATTATTATTTATACATAACTTAGATCATTTTTCCTGCATACTTAGTTTTATTATTATTTTAGGCTCTTCTAAACTTAATGTATAGATGTAACTTTTATTTATGCGTTTAAGTCAAAACTATGACAGCTTTTGAAAAATTTATGGGAAATAAATATTTATCGTGCTATCTATCCGTAGACGCCTCGTCTACATTAACGAATAAGTATAACCACCTACGCCATACTGGTCGCTTTCGGCAAATAGACTTGTAGCAGTCGATATTACTATGTGTCGATTGATTTATACTTGTCTCATGTTTTAATCTTTTGAAGATATTAAGATAAATAGAAAGATGTAACTGTTATGTATTTCTAATGAAGGAAAATATTTTTAGTTGATAATTTATCTGTAAGATGTCGCTAAATATGCCTTTTTAGTTCTTTACTCATAAATAAATTCAAGTATATTGTAAAGTTTTGCTTTTTATTACATAAGTTTTTAAAAGAACTAATTTTTAAATAAATTTTTATTACAGATAATAGTTCTAATATAACAGATAACATAATTCAATATAAAAAAATTTTAAATCTATTAAAATTAAAAAAGTATTAATTAACATTGATTTGAGCATTCATATGTGCTTTGCCAAAAAAGTAATTAACCGAAAAATTTTCTAATAAATGTAAAGACATTTTTTTTATTTATTTAATATATTTGTTTCAACATATTATATTTTTATAAGTAAAAAATACAAATATATAAAAATTGAACTGTTATCATTAGATAAGAAGCTTATTTATAAGACATTATCTATTATATTTTAAGTTTGATTTCAGCGAAGGTGATTTGAATGTAATTAATTCATCAAAATCAAATCAACGACATTTTTTTTTAGTTATCGACTTAAATAAATGACATAAAATTAGTTTTATTGAAAAAAGAAAAAAAATGCGATATAATTTCTACACGTACAATTTTTTAAGCACATCACTCAACTAATATTGATATTTTATAATCAAACACTTTTTAGAATAACTCATACTATCTAGTAAACATTCATATTTCATATTGGCGATACAAAAAATGAAAGTACAGGGCGATCCGCAAACTATATCTAATGCAATATTTTTAAAGTATAAGATAAACATTTTTTAGCTTCGATGGGAAGATGAGAAGGTATTAATTTTACAATGATGTGTTTTTTTTGTATCTGTTAACACTTTTTCTCAGCTCTCACCGAACCGATTTCTTTCAACGATACATCAAAAAATCACAAATTGTATCTAGTCGAAGACATTACCCTCAAAAATTTAAAAAAATTTCTTTTGTTCCTCGTAAATGGGAGAAATCTCCAAAAAAATTACTAAGTTAAAAATCGCTAATTTTCGAAATTTTATCAATTTTTTTTACATAAAACTGCTATAACTTTTTCAAAAATGAACAAACCAATATAATTTGTTTTTTTATAGATACATAATGTCTTTACCTATCATTTGGTGTATATATTTTTTTAAATATGACCTTTTACCTGCCCACAGAGGGGATTAAAAGTTACAACTTTTTCAACTTAACTTTTGATAATGTTCCGGAAAGTCCGACATTTATACATATATCTTAAATTAAAAATAATGTAATGTACTTTATTATGAAAAAAATTAATGTCAGACTTTATTTTGTCTTCACGGTGAAAATGTCTAGCGTATGATTTTTTTGTGTTAAAATTCTTGATTTTATATTTTACATTTTTAACTTTAAAATGCTATAACTTTTTGAAAAATATATGGATCAATACAATTTTTTTAAAAGAAGTAAATTTTATATACTTTTTTAATTCAAAATACTTTTTTTTAAATCCGAACATTTTCCTTAATACAGTGGGTGTTCAAAACGTAACAATGCATATAGAAAGTATAACTTTTTCAACTTAATTTTTGAAAGTGTTTCAGAAATACTGACACTTTTATATATGTCTTAAATTAAAGCTTATGTGATATACTTTATTATGGAAAAAAATGTGGGGCTTTAGTTTGTTTTCATGGTGAAAACTAACATCATAGTTAAAAAAAATAAGATTATTATAAAAAAAATTCTATTTAATATTTTTAATTTTATAATGCTATAACTTTTTAAAAACTATATGGATCAATACAAATGTATGATAAATACTATT